TATTGTAAAAAGAACAAGCCACGAGACAAACGTAGTCAAAAGTTTAGAATGTGTTTTGGTCAACAGTCTTGTGAGTTTAAGCTATGATAAAACGTTATTACCTCCTCAAAAACAGACCTGGAGTTGTGTTTTGTTTCGTCCACACATGTTTGAGTAACTCTTTATTATTAGTCTCCAAAGCTCAAAACACTCCCTTCCACCTTGTGATGTCAAGAAGTGGTAATTTTCAAGTGAACAATTACCTTTAGTTACCACCTTTAGTTCAGTAGAGACTGTCCATTCAGAGGATTAAAGATTCAGGGCTGAAATGATCCAAATGATTCTAATGAAGGTGTGTGGAGTTTAAAAACACAGTGGAGCACTTCCTGTATTAACACATGACATTACAAGGCGGAATGGTATGTTTTCAATGTGCGAGAAGAACCTAAATGTGCAGGGTTTGTGTGTTAAACATGTGTGAATGAAAACAAACAACAATAAAATAAACACACACACAACTGCATATATGTTTGTGATGAGGAAACTAAATCATAAAAACATAGATATTAAAAAAGCTTAATATGGGCCCTTTAAAGAATGTTGTGATGTCATTTGAAAACCACAAATATGCCAATGAAGAACACAAAGTACACACTCATCTCTGGTTTCCTTTTGGTAGTGAGCAGAGGACTGTTGTTTGTAAGACATGCACAATTTGAATATTATGACTTCAGATGCCTCATATTTGAAAAAGTCGTATACCTGGACCATCTGTGACTGTTTCTACCTATAGTTTACTGTCACTTGTCATAGTGCTGTCATGATACCACAATTTCAAACTTGATTCCGATACTAAGGACTCAATAGTGATTCTGATGCCATGATGATTAAAAAATAATAATAATAAATAAACACTCTTCATGCAGACAACAGAATGTGATTTTTAACATACAGATTTATACTAATAATAATACTATTCTCATGTGGTCATATATGTGTGTAATCCCTCAGTGGTCCAGGTAGGTTCCAGACTAGTCTATGTGCTCTTCTACATGTATCAATACCTGCTCAAATGAGGATCTAGTTTCAACACTGGTTTTAGTATGGAATACTGATTTTTAGTAGTGATACATTTAGTTTCAGGTGACCAGACGTCCCTGTTTATCTGAGACAGTCCCAGTTTTGAGCCCGTCCCCTGTCCCAGCAGATTTATCCCAAACTATTGATTTGTTCCAGTTTTATACAAGAAATGTCCCACATGTCCCTATTTTTAACCAACCTGATCCTGCCAACAGTAAAGAGACATACATTGTCATTTCTTTAGGTAAAATACAAAAAAGCTGCTCAAAAATAACCAAACCATAACAAAACTGTGACTATAATAACTCACGTTTGTCACGAATGGGCCTAACTATTTTCCTTAAATACACATTTGTTTCACCATTTTATTATCACCAACCACATACCAGCGCTGCCCTAGTTTGTGATTTTGAAAATCTGGTCACCCTATTTTAGTTTCCTCCTCAAAAACAGACCTGGAGTTGTTTTTGTTTCATTCACACATGTTTGAGTAACACTTTATTGTTAGTCTGTCTATATCTCCAAAGCTCAAAATGTTCTGTTCCACCTTGTGATGTCATGAAATGGCAGTTTTCAGGTTAATAACTACACCTACCTTTTATCTTTAGTTAAGTAAAGATTGTCAGTTCCAGGTCTGAAATTATTCAGATGATTCTAGTGAAGGTGTTTGGCGTTTAAAAACACAGTGGAGCACTTCCTGTATTATCACGTGACATCACAAGGTGGAATGACCAAAATATACAGGATTTGTGTGAAACTAAACACAGCTCCAGGTGTGTCATTATTAACAAGTTGCCGACACGATACACACCTAGATACAGTGCACTTTCGATTCGATACGATACATTTCCAATCAATTTGATACAGTTCAATAAAAAATAAAAGCTAAATCATGACTGTGGTACTAAAAGTTTTTGTTAAACCTCTTCTTGTGCAAATTCATATGAAACACAAACATTTTAATCCTCAAAACCGAGAACACGTCAAATGTGTCACATAAACGAGTTTGCTGTCACTGAATAAGCAACAAAACTGTAGCTCTGTAACAAAAACATTTTGTAAAATATACCAAAAAATACTCTTGGTGATATATCGATACAGCAGCCCATGATATCGATACTGTATCATCACATTAAACGATACGATATAGCAATATTTTGATATTTTTGCACACCCCTAGTAGAGAGGAAAATACAGAATGGATATGGCTGAGGATCTCTTTATTTTGCCATGCACTGGTTCTACTGTCGTAGTACTCGAGACCAACCTCAAGACCGCTTTTTTACAATCTTGGTCTTGTCTCAGACTTGAGAGCATTTGGACTCGGTCTTGTCTCGGTCTAGAAGGCGTTTGTTCTCAGTCTTGTCTTGGACTCGAGGTCTGACACTCGTCGAGTGAGATCATATTTCATTATGGTCTGTGAACGGCTGTTGAGTATCACTGCAAAACCAGTGAGATAATGTAACTGTAAATGTTATAATATTGAAAAACTTGATTCACTTTGAAGTTGTTTTGTGTAAAGTGCCAGAGGAAGCAGGATTAGAGAAGAGGTTCTCAAACTGTGGGTGAGGGTCCAAAAAAGGGACGCAGAGTGTTTGAGTACAGTACAGTTTGGCTTATTTTAAGTTCATTAATTAACATAAACATTAATCAGATAGAATGGAGATAAATTTATAAAAAACATTTATATATATATGTGCCACAACGTGTGCCAAAAATAGCTGCAAAATACAAATAAATATAGGAAATGACAAAGTCTTGATTTGGTCTCGATGGGCTGTAGTCTCAGTCTTGTCTCTGTATCGACCTTTAAAAGTCTTGGTCTTGTGTCGGTCTCGACCCTCAGAGGTCTTAGTCTTGTTCTGGTCTCGGGACCCTCTGGTCTTGGTCTCGATTAATGCAACCTTGACTACAACAGTAATTGCTTCCAGCGCTTTTTAATGACACTGTCTATTTTCAGTATTACTGTTTATCGCATCTCTGTGTATCTCAAAGTGTATTATTGTGACAGGCCTCGCTATTTCTGTGTTTCAGACAACATCACATTCTACTGTAACGTTCCATAAAGCAGCATGTTTAATACAGATGGGGCAGCTCAAATAAATATTGTCCAAATGCAGATTTATGTTGTAGTACAGTGAGCTCTCATGTGTGGTCACTAATAGAAATGATCAGGCTCAACATTTGTCAGTTTACCTGTCAGATATTTCATGGTTAAGGACAATGTGATCAAAAGGGAAAAGTGTCTCCTGCCCCCATCTGGGAGTATGACATCATCACATTTTAGAATCTGAAAACCTCCCACAGTTTTCATTCAGGTCCTACAATTTGATGCTGTTATAGTGTCAGATGGAGTGTGGGGCCTGTAGAACTCTATAGCTGACTTATAGATAACATCACATCATTCTATAGGACAGTCAGATGTAATACAGACGGACACAGCTCAAATGTAAAATGTAATCAACAGGAAACACCGTCTCTGACCCCATCTGAGATTATGACATCATCACATTCTAGACTCTGAAAACCACCAATAGGAGATTCACAGTTTTTGAAAGAAATCTTCAAACTTCTGATGCACAAATGTTGAACCTTTTCATTATTTTTCGGAGAATCGGGTCTTCATATTAATCTTTTGACTTAAACTTTCTTTTCACTGACAACAATCACATCTTCGGAGTTGAATAATGGCTCCACTTTCTGAAGCGATTGTGAAGAAATCATTTCACTTTTGTTTGAATACTGACAGAGCTGAACTTTGTGCCAGTTTTTGTTTCATGTGGCTTGGCCCAGTAATTACAGAGACAACAAATCTGCAATCTGACAGTTACACAACAGACTGACCTTAAACTGACCTGTCTCCAGCTCAGTTTAAATAACAGGGATATACAATGTTGTGATGTCACAAGTGATGACGTGTTGAATACAGGAGAATAAAGATGAGTCAAACAGGCATGAATCACTCCAAATACAACTTCAGGGGGTCAATGAGAAGAAACTACTCTAACATATTAAAAACTGTAAAGTCACGTTGTAGCATCCTCCTTAATAACCACACACAGATCAGCTATTTACAGACAAAGAAAAGCACACACACACACTTGTGTTGTGCGTGACTTGTTGTGTGATGACGGTGGCTCTCAGCACATGTCAGGTCTGTGCAGTCCACTCCAGATCTACTGCCATTATTGATTAGGCCTAAACAAGGCTTCCTCCAATATTTCTACACCAAATACGACAATAAGAAAAGAATGTGCCCAGTAGCACCTGCACTGGTCAGAGGAATAGTCAGAGGCAAAAAGAAATGATGGATCTTTAAACAATAGTCATGCCCAAAGCCCAGTCCTACAGAGGAGCCACACTCAGCCCGCAGCAGCAGCACCACCACCACACCAGACTGTTCAGACGACACAAGGCACAACCTGACCTAATACAAAGGAATCTCAGCTCAGCTCCACAAACCTCAGAGCTGCTTCCTCCACATGAATCACACACAAACACACACGTACAGGTTGTATATTGTGTATACAGGCTCTATATATGTGACACACACTTCTGTGAGTCGGTACTGCGGCAGCGGCTGCAGACACAGTCTGCCCTTCACTCCAACACAAAGTTGCACATTCAGGGCACGGTCTGTGATTTAGCTCCAAACGTGTCGCCTTTGGTGGTAGGTTTTACGCAGCTCTGACCAAGCGACGGGCTCAACTTTCTCTTTCTCTACCACTTCGGATAGACACGGATGCCACACCCTGACATGCAAATATGGATACTTAAAGTGAGAAGGATAAGCAGCGCAGAGAGTGCCGACATCGGCCAGTGTCGGAGCAGAGGCGGATGCGCACGATCCTCCGGGATACCGGCGCGCGGGGATGCGCTAAAACTGAAAGGCGTGGCATGTAAAATGCGTTATTCTAGAGCACAGACAAACATGTATTTACCTTGAAATGATGAAACGTGATTCATCGGAACATGAACATGCTAATGTGGTTAGCTTTGTCCTCCTCTCTGTGGATGAGTCGGGTTAGCCTTGAACAAAGGGAGAGAGCAGAGCACAGGAAGAAGCACGCAGCGCAGCGCATGCGGTTTACACAGACCCAGGCCCCAAACACTCCTCCTCCTCCTCCTCCTCCTCCTCCTCCTCCTCCCTGTGCCTCCCTCTGCTTCCCACGGACACTACATCCTCTGTCTCACTCTTTTATATCACAGTATAGACAGACTTATAATGTGCACTGTTCAGACAATGTCCACGCAGGTCAAACATGTTTGTAGTCATGAGATCACTTCAAAAGTCCTCCACGCAGCCTGTGTGAATGTGTGATTGGGACAGAGGAGGCCTATCATCATGACTCTGGATTCTTTCAGTGTTTGAAAATGGAGGCTAGAGGAAAATGATTTATTTCTGCATTGAAACATGATATAGGTGTAATTCCTTGTGTCTTTGGTTGTTTGAAAAAGGGTTTAACTCCTTTAACCCTAGAGATGAAGTCAAACATCCTCCATCTGAAACGATGACTCTATTCAGTTGATGTCATGTTTGGTGTCATCATTATATTACATATCACACAGTTTGATCATCGATCATGTCATTTCCTCATCACAAACAGACCAGGAGTTCTGTTTGTTTCATTCACACGTTCACACAAACCCTGCACATTTAGTTCTTCTCTCAAACAGAAAACACTCTTTTCCACCTAGTGATGTCATGTGGTAATACAGAACGTGCTCCTCTGTGTTTTTAGACTCCATAAACCTTCAAGATCAGGTTTGTTTATTTGTAAAGCACATTCAAAGTCTTTCCATCCATTTTCTTCCTCTTTATCTGGGGCGAGTCGTGGAGTCAGTGGTCTGAGCAAGGGGGCACACACTTCCCCCACACACAAACTTCCTGCAGCTCTTCCTGGGGAATCCCGAGGCTTTCCCAGTCCAGCCCAGAGACATAGTCCCTCCAGCGTGTCCTGGGTCTTCCCTGAGGCCTCCTCCTGGTGTGACATGAACACCTCAGGGTTCAGAAGGCATCTAAAACAGATGCCCTCCCCTCAGCTGTGCGTCTACATGTGGAGGAGCAGCGGCTCTACTCTAAGCTCCCTGAGCTCCATGAGCTCTTCACCCTATCTCTAAAGGATTGCCTGGCCACTCTGCGGAGGAAACTCATTTAACTGCTTATATCCACAATCCTGTCCTTTTAATTATTCCACAGGAATGTCAGGATTAACTCCAAGCAGCACTGGGGACTTGGACCGTCAGAGAAGATGCTCCCTGGAAAACACAATAGTCCAACTGCTCTGCTGAGCCTCACAGCCAAGAACAAAGAGGCCAGTGAAAAAGACAAACACACCCAACAAACACAGTGAGTGTTTAATTGGATGGAAAAAGTTAAAGAAAAAGAAAATGAAAATCTTAAAATGCAAACAAGAATAACATAAAAAGGAGGAGGTTTCTGGAAATTTCAGGAGCTCCTTCTTGTCTGTGCTTATTTAGTGCAGATTCTGTATTAGACTTGTAAGAAGCAAACATGTCACACAGCCTGTTCTCAACAATAAAAGCCTCAATAAATAAAGCTAGGATTAAAAAGGAGGTATTCCACGTTCAGATCACCTTTTACCTTTTTGAAAATGCTTTTCCCAAAACAACATATTAACAGATTTTATAAGTTTTATTTTTGTTTTTGACACTCATTCAAACATGACTCCCTCTTCATAGCACCATCACATCAGCATCAGCGTGTGTTCTATCAAAGAAACTACTGCCCATTGCATCAGGTTTGTGAAACTGTAGTGTGTTGTTTTGTAGCATGTTATATTTTATTTAAAGAGAACTGTTGTGTGGGAGCTTGGGTGACATAGACTTGTGGACGGAGCGTTGTACAGAATCTTACAGTTAACTGTAAAGAGGGTTTGGACAGAGCCTGAGAAAGATGACTACATTACTCAGACATGTAAGGATGACATCTAAACCTCTTTGGGCGTGTTTTTGATGAGGGAACAACATTAGAACATGGGAGAAAGCTCAACATATAGATTTTGCCTTATACCCCTTTTTTAAACCTTTTTGGATTTTCAGTTCCAAAATCTTGACCCAAAGTGACTGAGGTCCTCAGTGAACATGTCACAGTGTCACCAGAGTGCAAAGCCTGCTCTGTGTCAGCATTAGGCAAAACAAAAGTGGTGCCATTATTCAACACCAAAGACATGTTTGTTGTCAGGTGAAAGGACTTTAAACAATGACATGAATATGACAAGTTTGTAGAACAAATAATAAATCATGAAAAGGTCCAACATTTATGGATCAGAAGTTTGGAGATTTCCTTCGAAAACAGTGACTCTTCCGTAGTAGTGGAGCTGTTAAGGACCAAAATAGTTTGCTTTTATGGTACAAGCATGACATTTTGCCACATTACTAACACCCCCAGGACTAATATTTCTAGATATGGAACCTAGACCCTGGAGCCGAGAACTGTGCATGTCACAAAATGGACTATATGAAAATGAGGCTGGCATAAAAAACACTGCAGAATCCCTTTCTTATAGCCTAATTTGCTAAGTTATCCATTTTGTAATGATGAACAACTATTTTTTATAAGCTCCAAAGCATTAACGAGGTCATGTGACCATTTTCCTTGAGGCTGTAAGGGTTGTGTGGGCTCCCTGTGGTTGAAATCCAAGTTAATACAATATTTTATCTTTCAAAGCCATATTTTTGGGGTTTTTGATAACAAAAACTATTTAAACATCTCTAATGACCTGTAAGTGCCTCATCATGTTTCACAATGGTAATTAAATGCTGCATGGATGTGAGGCTTAACCCTAAAAAACATATCAGAGATTTTGCTTAAATCGTTAAACTTATTCAAAGTGCTCTAAGTGCAGCTGCTGCCACATTGGCATGAATCTGTACATGCCAAATTTGTCTTTGCACACTTACATCCCCCAGCACAGGCTTCTGCATCCACACTTGATAAGTTCATAACACGTTCTTTGCCTGGTGGAGCGTGGTGCACAACTGTAACTAGTGACTGTCATCACGCTTGCATCCCCAATCTGCAGGGGCTGGGTGGTGTCTTAAAATACAAAAATTCTTAATGGTGCATTATAACTTTTCTGTTTGGGGGTCCACAACCTGCTTCTTTTATGATGTTACAGCTTTGGCTGGAATCTTTCACTGTACGACATTAAACATATCAGTCTTTGTCAGTCAGTCAGTGTTTATTCAGTTAAGGATTGAAAATGTGTTTATTGCTCAAATACCTAAAATGCAGACATTCTTACATTTAGCGGGTCTATTGCTTGTGGGACGCCAGTCATTGTGTCCTTAGGCAAGGCACTTCACCCACATTGCCTTGTATGAAAGTGGTGTGTGTGTGTGAGTAGTGGTCACAGGGACCAATGGCATGGCAGTCGCGCTTCTGTCAGTTTGCTCCAGGGCAGCTGTGGCTACAGTAGTAGTTTACCATCGGGTATAGAGTGAATGAATAATGCTGAATAATGATCTGCAAAGTGTCTTTTTGACATATGTCTGTGAAAAGCACTATATAAATAAAAATACTTACTTACTTGTCACCAGTTAGATGGATAAGTTTAAAGTCATACTGTGAAAGCAAAGCAATAATATCTCCATGGAGACAAGCAGGTATGTGACTGGTCTAACAGGCATCCACACTAAAACTCCACTCCTACAGCCAGGGATTTGTAAACAGAAACAAGTGGTTGTAATCAGGGAAGTCCTGTGTGATGTCACATAGTACTTGATATCACAGAGGCCACTAGAGTTCACATACTCTCATTTTTACACATTGTTGCTCAGATTCTTTTGCTAATTTACCTAGTTTGCTCTAAAATTACCAAACAAACACTAGAAACAGTAAATGACTCTATTAAAGACGCACTGTGTAACTTTTTAATTCGGGGCCCGTCACCTGCTTGTTTCTATGGAGATGTAATTGCTCTTCCTGTAATGTTCCACAGTATGACATTAAACAGCTCTACCTTACATTTATTCAATTACAGGTGGTTTTATAGCTCAAAAATACCTAGAAAAACAGACATTGTGACTGTGAGCGAGGTCGCCTCTCCACAGATCTGACCTGTAATTTGGCCTTGTTTAGTCTCCATGAAGATAGAAAGGTTTAATGCCACATTGTGAAACAATCCAGACAAAGCAATAACAGCTCCATGGAGACCAGAAAAGTTACATGATGCACCTTTAAAAAAACACCATTAGTTTGGTAGCTTTTTTTTGTTGTTGCTGTTATTTAATGTTTACTTTCACTTTAAATACAGCATTGAAAGTAGCTAGTATCTTGATACATATTCTTCTTTATAATCTATATGATAATTTAACATTATTTTCCAAAAAAGAAGGTTTAAGCAGTAATATAGCTCCCAGCCTCGTTTCCATGTCGGCCATTTTGTGACATGTGCAGACCTCGGCTCCAGAGTCGACTTGGGCTTGGTTCCATATCCAGAAATGTTGGTCCTAGGGATGTTAATAATCTGGCAAAGTTTCATGCTTGTACCATAAAAATGAACAATTGGGCACCTTTTTGGTCCTTAACAGCTCCACTATAGAGTTATAGAGGCCCTCCTCCTCACATTCTACAACCTGAACACAACCTGTTGCCTACAGGAAACCAAATCATGAACCAGATCATATACATGAGGGATGATGTTGATGATCTCACTGTACCACACACAAATCATATTTAGTCATTGTCATTTTACATTTTGTCCATGGTTTTAGCTCATCAAGCTTTGGTTTGAAATAGTTTAAGGCTCTGTTCTCAATTTTGGAATCATGAAAGAGTCTAGTCAGTGTGATTCTGAACCATGACTCACAGACGGGTGCTTCCACATGGTTCAGTTCCTAAAATGCATAGCTGACATCATTTTATTTCATGTAAATATACATTTTTTGCTTTTATTTAAAATGCAGGATTTGTGTGATACCTCAGCTTGCTTGAACTAGTAAAAGAAAATTCACTTCTGCTGATCAGAACAAAAATTTGTGTGAAGGTCTTGAGTGAAGATGTGAAGGTGTTTTTATTGTTTTTTGTTTTTTGTTTATTTAGAGTGTGTTCTGTGAGTGAGTGAAT